CTTGGACAGGACAAGCATCGCCTGAAGGTTCTCAGGGAGTGCAAGGCCGCTATCCTTAATCTCCTTGAGACGAGTGACGAGTTGGTCGAACTGGTGCTGGATGGGCTTCTGGTCATTCATGCGATCCGAAGCGATAAGGCCTTCAAACTTGTACCAGACAGCAGCGGCGTCAGGAGTGCCAAAGGTGTCCTTGAGAGCCTTCCACATCGCATGCGGTTGCTTGGGATTGCCAGCATCATCTTCGAGGAGACGATGGAGTGAACGATCGACCTTCATCATGATGATACCCTGGGCCCGTTGAACCTTAAGGTGATGCTCCTTAAGTTCTTCAGCCGTTGCAGTAGTAGCCGTAGTAGCGGGTGCCGAGTTGGTGACGGTCCAGGAACCAATCATGATCAGATCAGCGTTGTTATGACCGCGGTCATGACCGAAGCCATGACCGATTTTGACCAGCTTGACTGGTCATGACAGTTAGTCAAAGGTCAACGCGTGATCTAGGCGACCGAGCGCTTATGGGGTCGCACTCATCTTGTTGATTGGGACCAGCAGCTATAGATGGCCTGACTACTAGTGTACGCGTAGATAGAGATTATATAGGATTGAAGAAGCATTTTTCGAAGGGAGAGTGAGCGGGAAGATGTAAGATAATGTGAGCTGGAGACAATAGGGGTTGGAAGCATCAAATACATGAACTCCGTCAGCGGTAGAAGCTATTCGGAACCCAGCAATTTTCGACTCTTCTACCAGACCATTGTGAGAGTGCACCGCACTCGCTATTCACTGACCCCCTGACTATATCTGTGCACTAGCAAGATGGCGCCGCCTGCGAGCACCTATGAAGAACCTGGCTTCCCTTATGCAACCCTGGCCAAGTTGACCGGACTCTGTCCCTCCGGACCAGCGTCGTTCGCCTGCCTACAGAATCTTCCATTTGAAGTGAGGCTGAGCACCAGTGATAATGTAAATCAAGCGTGGCTTATCCTGTATTCAACAGACCCTCAAAACCGTTTTGGTTGCCATCATGACTAACGAAGTACTGAACGATCAGCTGTGGCAACCAACAGTAGGCCGCTGAGCAACTGCTCCTCCGACTCAGACTCCTCTTGCAGGCTAGAAACTGCAGCTTGTTCGTCATATACAGCTAGTTCATCGTTGAGATTCGTGTCCAGGTCGAGTTCCGTTCCCTATGAATTGATTTTTGATCTATTCGTCGGCAAGCTCTTTGTCCGTTCGCAGCTCAGACATAGCGGATTATGGGGTCGTAGGTCATTGAAAGCAAAGGACAGGGATGAGTATGTGACAGTCTCATCGGCCCCCATTGTACCTTCTCGCGGCCACGACGCCCTTGGCCTATCCGAGAGCCATGGCCCATGGCCTGCCGTCAGGCGCACACTCGGACATGCCGGAGATCTCACGTGCTAACTTTTGACTGGCGGTCATGACCGGGTCACACAGTGACCGGTCATCCGTCGTCTAAAAGTCATGACCGTTGACTTGACCCGTAACAACGCTGGATCAGATAGCCCTTCATCTGCGCAGCCCAGTTGGGGTACTGGTTGATGTTGGAGAGAGAGGAGAGAGAGCTCGAGTCGACTTTGTCTGACATGACGAGGGAATGGAGTAGGAGATGACGATCGAAGAAGTCGTCTGATTGCGATGGAGGTGGAGCGCGAAAGAAAGAATCGAAGTCTTGCTCGAGATAGTGAAGAGGGATGGATACCGGGACTGGCGTTGGAGGCTCTGAGTCCGGTAGTCCAAATGCAGCAGCGCGGATAAACGGTTCGGTTGTCTGAGGATCGGAGCAGAGAGCGAATGGGAAGCTGACAGGAAGATCTGATGGGCTAAGTGGTCCTGAAAGACGATTGGGACAGGTCTCTTCGTCGCAAGGGTACCACCCGTCTTCTTCACTATGATAGTCTCTTTCTTCCTCTAGCTCGAAGATATGAGGTAGTCCTCGACAATCGATAGGTGTTTCTTCTTCTTCGGAGGATGTGGAGTTGATAGCTTGTTCAACCTCCTCGTCCGAAGAGATAGAGGGTTCCGCTGCTGTTGTCGGATCCAAAACAGCCAGGAGACAGGGAAACGCGATGTAAGATGGAGAGCCACGTGTGAAAGCGACGAGATATGAACGCCTATTGAGGCAACCAGGAAGCAAGCAAGCTGGAGATGCCTACAACCCGGGTAGAAGTCGCCAACTGTGCCCAAG